GGAGGAAATCGCCAAGTTCTTTGATGGCGACGATGCTGTTGATGTTGGCGAGGCTGCGTTGATGGACGTCAAGGAGCAGGGTATTGCGCGCGGAGAGAAGGACGGGTCTGTGTCGCACATCGAGGAGGTTACCAAGTAGGAGGGTCGCGTCGCTTAGCTCTGAGGCAAGTATGTGATATCGGATAATTCGTTACGCTGAAATGACACGCATCAAACTTGATGAGCAACCTCTGTGCCAAATTCTGGCCTTCAGCGGGTCCGTGATCTCACCTAATGCAATGGTTCAGTTGCTGTCGCACGACAAAAGTTGATCATGGTGAATACTGTGCAAAGTTCAAAAGCAAATTGCGCGCCTGAAACCATTGTCATGGTGCAGGAAATAGGGTTCTAGTACAGCCGATTGGCCTCTGAGGAGACTTCGGCTGGTGACGAGGCGGGGCCGCATCGCCAACCTCGCGACATCACGATACATCCCAGCAAGGCTTGACCGCGTCATGCTCAGCACACAACACAGCTTCAACTAGGTGTCTATTAGGGTTTTAAGTAGTAATATTTAATATATATTCTATAAAAAAGTAAAAGTAGCTAAACTATAAGTATAAGTTTTATAATATTATAGTTACTTATTTTTAAAAGTAAAAATTTTATATATATACTTAACTTTTTTTTATTACTATAAAATCTTTACTATTATTATTATATTTACTATAGTATTTTTTACTACTTTTACTAACTTTAATAACTTTAATACTAATAAATATAAAAATATTACTATATAAAAATTAGACTTTAGCTTATACTTTAAGTAATAGCTTTAACTTATATATACTAAGATTATTAGCTTAGTAAATATATATATCTAATATAAAAAACTAATTATAGTAATTAGTATTAAGCTTAAAGTTACTTATATTTTAAGTAAATTATAGTTAATATACTTAAGTAATATTAAATTTTTTATACTTAAAAAAATTACTATACTTAAAGCTTTTTATAAAAATACTATTATTATACTTAAAACTAAAGCTATATTTTTTATACTTAATACTTAGTTATAGTTACTTATAAGCTTAAAAAATAAAGTTTATAACTTTTAAAATTACTAAGTACTTAGACTATAAGCTTAAAAAGAAAGCTAACTAGTAAAAAATAAATAAAAGTATAAAATATATAGAAAATTTAGTAGATTATACTATAAAAACTAAATAAATTAATTAGTGTATTTTAATGCCTAATACCTCTAAAATAATACTAGACACTAGGGGAAACACAGCTTCGAGCGCGCATCACAGCACGTAAGGCAGTCTGTCGCATCCTACATGACGCTACCAGGCCTCCCACCAAGCACCCGAGCCAAAAAAGCTTGCTGTCCGCCACTGCCAACGGCCCAGCAGGTGCCGATCACCGTATCTCCTGCTTGTTCGAGCATCGTACTTGCGCTAGCACAGGCGCACTACTTTATCCACCTTCCCTAAACATGGTTGTCCCTCGCATAGATGATAATGAAATGGCCGGGTAGCTATCACCGGCGTCATAACTCTGTTCTCTCGTGTTGGGGCAGATATATAGGCGAGCGCTGCCTGACTTGCGCCGTTGCCAGCGACTACGCATCGTCCTACCGGTACCATGCGTTTCTCAATTGCTGTCGCAGCGATCCTAGGCGGCCTTCAGGCTGCTTCTGCGCTCAAGCTTTCACCCAGAAATGCGGTGGAGAGGGAAGAGCAGGTAAGCACCATTTTTTCTGTTTGTTACATCGATGTAGCGACGGTGCCTCTCTGCATTCAATTGCTTCATGCCTTTCTGCAATATGCACGAGAGGTATGAAAGTATCGATAGGGCCTTTTCGGCATGGAACATCAACATGCGACGAATATCTCATACCTCGGAGATGAGCTGGTGGTAAGCAAATGAAGCTGACACGATATCAGGTGCAAGCTGCACGGACGCGTCGCAGCCTGACCAAGCGCGAAGACACCGATCCCACGTTGCTATACCCGGAGTACAACATCTCGGTGCCAGTCGACTTCTTCCACAACGAGACGCGGTACGAGCCTCATAGCAACGATTCCTTTAACTTGAGGTACTGGTTTGACGACACGTACTACAAGCCTGGCGGACCGGTCTTTGTTCTTCTTGGCGGAGAAACCGATGGAGAGGGTCGTCTCACCTTCCTCCAGAAGGGAATTGTCCACCAGGTCATCAAGGCTACCAACGGTCTCGGTGTCATTCTCGAGCACCGTTACTATGGCAAATCTTTCCCGGTTCCCGATCTGACGACACCGAACATGCGGTTCTTGTCGACTGAGCAAGCGCTTGCCGAGGTTGATTACTTTGCCCGAAATGTGCAATTCGAGGGCATCGATGCGGATTTGACTGCGCCCAACACCCCATGGGTCGTTTACGGTGGATCGTACGCTGGAGCTCAAGCTGCGTTCTTGCGAGTTGTATACCCAGAGACTTTCTGGGGCGCAATCTCTTCTTCCGGTGTAACTGTTGCGATCTACGACTACTGGCAGTACTTTGAGCCAGCTAGGCTATACGGTCCTCCAGACTGCATGAAGAACACGCAACTCCTAATTGACGTTGTTGATGGCATTCTTATCCGCCAGAACGACACCTCCAAGATTCAGGCACTCAAGGATGTCTTTGGCATGGGCGGTGTTACTGACAACCGTGATTTCGCTGGCCAAATTACTGGTGTCTACGGCCTGCAAAGCACCAACTGGGACCCTGAGGAGAACTCGCCCTCTTGGTTCAACTACTGCCAGAACATCACCGCAGAAGAGCCTGCAGGCGAGAACCTACGCCCAGCGGTTGCGGAACTCGTTTCGGCGGCCGGCTACACCAACGACACCGCTGTGCAGAATATCACTCTCAACGCCATTGCCTGGCTCAACAGCACAGCTCTCTCTGGGTGGCGCCGTTCGAATAGAACTCAGGACTCGTACTTCACCCAGCTCAATGTTACTGCGCTCCAGCAATACACTTCTATCGAAGACTACGGCGCCGTGAGCTGGAGCTACCAAGTCTGCACCGAGTGGGGTTACATCCAAACCGGAAACACGCCTGCTGATATCATGCCTCTGATCTCACGTACTCTTGATGTAGAGTACCTGACCTTCTTCTGCCGCGCCCAGTTCGGCATCAACCATCCTCCGGAGATTGAGCGTGTCAACAAGTACGGAGGCTACGACATCGACTACGAGCGTCTTGCCCACCTCGGAGGTAACGCCGACCCATGGAGGCCTGCTACACCACTGTGGTACCCCGATAGCAGGAACAGCACGACGGAGCGCCCATGGCATCTGATCAGCCACGGTGTGCACCACTGGGAGGAGAATGGCATCTTTGAGAACCAGACTACGCCTGATCTGCCACCACCGCAGGTCGTCTATGCGCAACAGTTCCTGAAGAACTTTGTCGTTGACTGGCTCGAGGGTAAGTCTTTGAAGGTGCATCGAGCTTGTTTGATCTATCCGCTAACGAAACGTAGAATTCGAGAACCAGAAGGAACACATGGAGCTGCGCTAAGCCTGAGAGCCCCTCGCTGTTCAAGTTGATAGCTTTACACCGCCTTGTTTACATGACTTTGAGGCCTAGCCTTTAGGTCACGTCAGCTTCGGTCCATCACTATCAACAAATCATATCAATTCTTTGCAAACATCAGCTTACCCCCGTGAACCCATGAGATGCAAGCCGCGCGTTATGCTGAAGCCCATTAAGATAGTGTGGTTGAAACTATATGTTCATCAACCGCTAACTATGCCCATATAAACATGCTCTCGATTCCCATCCCTCAATTCTTTCTCTGATACCTCTACGCCACAGTATTCTGAATCCACCCCTGCCCCTCACTCTCCACAACCTCACCCCCCGTGCTCTCCCCAACCCTAACCGTAACATTAAACCCCGTAACCGTCGCACCCCCACTAGCCCCATACAACGAATAAATCCCCGCATTCAACAGAATATCTTTCCCCTGATACGCCTCCATCGCCAGCCCCGCGGGTACCGTCGCGGTAATAGTAACGTTTTCCTGCCCCTGGTTGCTCTTCTCAGGACCGAGGTATGCGGATTGCGTGTAGGAACCGAGGGTGCCTGGGTAGCCGGGGGCGAGCGAGAAACCCCATGCTACGGCGACGTCGGCGACGGATTGGATGTAGCCTTCTGAGAGGAGGGTGAGTGTGAAGGTGCTGTTGGGGGCGAGGGTGGAGGGCGCGGCAATGCCGATGAGGCGGCTGGAGGCGAGGGTCGCCGATGTGAGGGCTGTTGTGAGGGTGGTGAAACGCATTTTGGTGGTTTATTAGGTTGACGTCGTAGTTTAGTGATGCGTGAGGTTCGTTGAGGAGGTATTAAATATTTAGGTTTGGCCTGATGGGTTTGCTCGCTGTGGTGATCTGAGATAGCTTATATACCTCCTCCCTCTCCACTACTCATAATAGCAAAGCATCCCCCGAAGCGGACCGATACTACTGAAAGCTCCCACCATCTCATATCGCATCATACCATGCAGCGTCACCTTTCTCCACAAAAGCTCTGGTGTCGGAAGATTGTTGTGCGAATTATCCTGGTCATGGGCTCGTGCAGATCTCCCGGCGCAGCCACGGCGACCACTCGGGCGATGTGTAAACTGCCGATCTCGTCGACATAGGTCGCTATTTTGAGCTGGATACGAGGATGGTCGAGCCGTAGGTTCCGAATTGTTGTACGAAAAGTATGGTGTTTTGAAGAGGGTACGTCATTCCGGGTAGTGGAAGCGGAGTGAGTGTAGTGGAGCTCGTACAAGTGGCGGAAATAACGTCATTTCGACTTAGGAACCCCTTTCGTCACGATACGAATCTCGTATTGTCGAACAGTTGCATTAGCAACCACATCTTCACGGCACTGCCTTCCATCTCTTATAGAAAATTGTAGGAATTTAGAATAGACTGCTTTGCTATTGCTATGGGAACTACGCTATTTAACAATCATGAAGAAGAGAAACATCCAAACCGACTGCTTCAGATCTTGTAATTCTTGCCATATACCTCTTTTTGGCTCGTTGCGGGCTTCCACTCAAAGTGGTGCTTGCCCTCCATTGGCTTCTTGACGTTCGCGTCTGTATCACCCTTCTTGTCGAACATGTGGCTACCAAAGTAGTCAAGCTCAGCTTCGTAGAACGACGTGGGCAGGTCGGTACCGCTAGCGACCTTGAAGTACTCCAGGGTAGCACTGATGGCAGGTACGACTTGGTCGGTTTCCACAGCCTTGGCGACTATGCGACGAAGTGCAGGGAAGCAGTTCTTGACGTCTTTGGCTACGCGAGTTGAGAAGTTTAGGTTGAGGTTTTCTGGAGATGGATTGGATTTGAGGATCGGCGCGAGAATCTCATCGGAGATGTAGTCTGCTTGGATGATACATCCTCCGCGCCAGATCTGCCAAACTTGCGAGTAGTCAATTTCCCATTTGTTCTCCTGGTCTGCTTTCGCGATGACATTCATGCCTTGGATGTAGCTGGCGAGGCATGCTGCATATGTTGCCTTTCTGAGATCTTCGAGGAAAGCCTTCTTGTCCGTGATGTCCAGTTGACTAGGAGGGAAGCCTCCGTCGGCAGCTTTGCTAGCTTGCTCACGGTCACCGCGGAAGGCAGATGCGAGACGGAAGGCGTGAGATATGTTGAGAGTGAAGGCTGGGACGTGACGCTCGATAGCTTCAGTGTTGCTCCAGACACCAGTACCCTCCTCGCCAGTGACATCCTGGACCACCTTGTCGAGGACTTCCGAAATGACAAGAGGAGGTAATTGGGTATCTTTCTGGTTTGCTTGGTTGGGCTTATCGCTTGAGTCGCGTTTGTGGGATAGATCTGCGCCAATGGAAACGAGGAAAGTGCCGCGCTATTCGCAAGTCAGTTCAGTAAATCCATAATTTCTTGAGTTGTGAACATACCAGCTCGCCGTCTGAGTTCCATTGAGAGAGAACATCGCCAATCTCCTCGTACCCCATACCCATCTTTCGCATGATGCCCCAGGCCTCACAGATAGCGCTCATCATGCCATGCTCGATACCGTTGTGCATCATCTTCACGTAATGTCCTGCTCCACCCTTGCCGATGACACCCACGCAAGGTTTCTCGTCCTTGTCTTTGGCTGCGACCTTCTCCAGCAACGGAAGGACTTCTTTGAGCGCAGAGATGTCGCCGCCAGGACACATGGAAGGTCCGGCTCTCGCTGCCTGGTATCCACCACTGACACCGCAGCCAATGTAACGGATGCCAGTGCCTTTGCATTTCTCCTGTCGCCGCTCGGTGTTCTGGAAGTGTTCGTTTCCGCAGTCTAGGATGATGTCGTCGCGGGAGAGATGTGGCTCCAGACCTTCAAGGACTTTGTCGCCAACGCCGCCATGTGGGAGAGAGAAGACGAGTAAGCGTGGTGTGGAGAGTGATTTGCAGAGGGAATCGTAGTCTGTTACTGCATTAGTCTTGGAGTGCATCAGCGTTCAAGGATTCATCCTACCATTGAACTTCTTAACTTTTCCGTTGTAGCCTTGCTTCTCAGCCTTCTCAATGACTGCATCCATTGCCTGCTCTGAAGGGTCTGAAAGCGAAACATTGACACCGTCCTCAGCGAAAAGCAGGGCCATTCCACCGCCCATGCTTCCGCATCCGATCATGGCGATCTAAATCGTTAGTCCTGTTCGGGACTACATGAATAATTGGACATACATTTGTGAACTTGGACATGATGTTAGTTGAGGTTCTCCTCTTCTTGTCGCGAACGGAAGGATATCAAAAGCGAGCAGCCTAGGATGATAATGTACAAGTATGTGAGAGAGGAGAAAGACGGGAGTGTCGGATCGGCGTAGTGTACGAGATTGTCGAGAAACTGGAGCATGATGAAAGGCGCGGGTCAAGGGCGTGTCATATAACAATTGAGTGACGTCGGCGGGGGTGTAGCTGGACCTAGCTCACTGCTAGAGAAGAATGGCTGGACGGTGGCCCTTTTATCTGCTTCTTTCCGACTGTGCCGTGAGGGGTGGGGTCGTCAGCCATGATGTATGCGGGAAACAGGCACTGCATGTAAGCGTCGGACTTGGGGCCAGACACAGGGCAGGCGCGTTGAGAGAGAGAGCGAACCTGGGTCGCGTAAGTTGGGATGGAGCCGCTCTTCCACTAGCGCGAACCGCCTCGACTACGGAAACATTTGGCGACGCCGGGAGCTCAACAACGCCCTCACCACGATACCCACTCCACACCACCCACCGACCAATTACATTCCGCAGCCATGGCCGACACCACAGAAACCATGGACATTGACCAGCCCGACATCGCGACTGACGCCAAGCCGACCACCGACAGCAACGACGCGCGCACCCAGGCAGGCGCGACAGCTGTGCGCTCCATCGAGGGCTGGATCATCATTGTCACCAATGTGCACGAGGAATGTACCGAGGAGGATCTTCAGGACATGTTCGGCGAGTTTGGTACCATCAAGAATCTGCACATGAACTTGGACAGGAGGACGGGTTACGTCAAGGTACGCGCCTGAGATTGGTGGTTGTGACGAGGAGGGAAAGAGCGATGGAGGACTGACATCACGCAGGGCTACGTGCTCATCGAGTATGCTACTTTGGAAGAAGCGAACGCCGCTGTCAAGGGCGCCAACGGCGAAGAATTCCTCGAGCAGAAGGTTACCGTCGACTTCGCCTTTGTACGACCACCGCCAGCCAGCAAAGGACGGGCGCGCGACCACGATAGGCGCCAAAGCGGACGCGGGGCCGGAAGAGCCAGGAGCAGGAGTCCTGGACGCGACGGAGACGATATGGACGACGAGTAATTCTTAGGCGGAAGTGGCAGTCACGCCGCTTGGTTGGTTAAAGATGCTCTCGTAGGTACCAGGGAGAACAGAAGGGTATGGCTCAAGAAGCGCAGCATCTGCTGCGCTCGCCATTCAGAGCTGTCTCGCAATACTAGCTCCCCGGCTTACCTCTGCGTGGGGTGGGTCGGGCTTCGCCTTGATCACTGTAAGTGCGCAACGACTACGATTTGCATCGGCCTGGACTAATCCATCTACAGACTATCCTGCCTATGTTTGACAAAACGTGACCATACCTTCTCGCCGATCCGGTAGTAATAGCCACGACGGATCCGATCTACATGACGTCTTTTGAAGCGGGCGTACCCATGGCCCACCGCGCCTGCGCATCGTTCGGGCTCTCCACTTCAACGTTCCCCGTGTGCCCGGTCCTCAACTCTAGCTACCAGGAACTTCCTAGAATTGTCACATCTCACAATTTCGCAGATTCTGAGTAGCTCGCCTCTTACAACGAGGCGCCTGCACCATGAGAACCACGAAGCCACTGGTCTACGTGAGACCAGAACACCTTGTAGCACGCGAAACATAGTATAACTTGCCTGCTCGCACTCTCCAGATCTTTTTTCTCTATCTCCAATTATCACTCAGAATTACAACATACTCCTTTCCAGCTCCCTCACCACCCGCAGCGAGCCGAGATGTCTACAATTCCAACGATACCTAGGTCAAACATAGGACCATCTCCTAGTGAACCTATGATAACATCCGTAGATATCATACCCCTCCCTACTCAAACTCAAGTACAACCTTTCCCACAGCTTTCCCCCCCTCAATAATCCCATGCGCATCTCTTATCCCTTCCTCATCCATCCTCAACCTCTGCTTACAATGACACCTCACAACGCCCTGATCCAGAAACCCCGCCAACTCCTTCAAAATCCTCCCATGACTCTCCACATCAACACCATAATACGGTTTCGTCCCCAGCAACGCCCACACAAACGTCAGACTCTTTGCCATGAACTCCGTGCCGTACATGGGCATCTCTTTGTCTTGGACAATAGAGCAAACTTTTCCGAAGGGAGCGCAGATCTTGGCGGCGGGGGCGAGATAGCCGGATGTAGGTGTGTGCGTGATGAAAATGTATTTGATCGGTACATCCAGCTTCAACTTCTCAACTTCTTCCGCGAGGTCGTTGTGGTGGTTAATCGTATGCGTAGCCCCTCCTACATCTTTTGAGAAAGCGACTGTCTCTTCTCTAGACGCCGTGGTGACTACAACGGGTAAGTCGAGTACCCTCCGTGCAATCTGACTCGCCACACTGCCCACACCTCCCGCGCCGTTAATGATCAAGATACCAGCCTTTTCACCCTTTCGTATCTCCATCCGCTCGACTAGTGCCTCGTAAGCCGTTATCCACGTCAACGGCATAGCAGCAGCTTCTCCCCAATCCAAACTCTTTGGCTTGAGCGCCACGGCTCGCGAATCGACTAGTTGGTACTCTGCATTGCTACCTTGACGGATTGGGGAACCGGCGTAGTAGACTTCGTCGCCGGGTTTGAAATTCTGGACGGAAGATCCGACGCTTTCGATCGTGCCGGCGCCGTCGAAACCGAGGATTTGCGGGAGTGCAGGCGTGCGTGAAAAGTAGTCTGGGTAGTCGTCGTAGGTGCCGGCGCGGACTTTTGTGTCGACGGGGTTGACGGAGCAGGCGCGGAGGCGGACGAGGATGTCGTGGCCTTGGGGAGAGGGAGGTTTGGGGACGGAAATGGATTGCAGGTTTGTGATTGGGCCATATTCGGTGACTGCGATGGCGTGCATTTTGTTGTCAGATGTCATTATCTGCTACAGTTTGTAGGAAGTTCTTTGTTACTGTGAGAAAGCATGGTTTTGGTGGTGCTCATCTTTTATCTTGCGGTTTCTCCAGACTCCACTGTTTGGAGCATCGCACGTAAAGATGCCATCAGAGGTTGATGACGTCACGCACATGCTCCTACTTCGATATGAAGATGTGGATGTCTCACTGTATTGGCCGAGTTATTCCCGACTCCATGAGACGATGTATTAGTCGCGATGTGCACTTGACGTGTCGTGGCACGGCACATGTACTGTGGTGTCTAGGAAGAATCTGTACGCTGGGAGGACCCGATCTCGGGAGATAGTCCAACGGCTGTGACCGAGACTTGTACTGTGGCTTATGCATCTGAAACCTGTGCAATTGGAATAAGTAGCTAAATAGTTGAGGCTGTCTGGATCCCTCAAGTAGGCGCCTGGGCTGTAATGCAGGCTAGCGACGCTCTAGTAAAAGGTACAAAGGTACTTTGGCACATGATCGTGAGTCGATGCAGGCCGGGGAGTACCGTCACATACGTGGTGCACGGAAAGAGGGGTTGCCTGCCGTAGACGCAGGCTGGGACGAGAGGAGATGTAGTGCAGAAAAGCGTTGTGTTCCGTGGGGATGACTGGTGGGATCGGGGACTTAACCCTGCGATGGAGCGAATGAGCTCATGGTGAAGCATTAGCAGCTACGGCCGTCTCCAACCACAGCGCCTTCCCATAGTAATGCCCGTAGTGATAATTGTTGCTTTTCTCGATAGATAGTCGCCACCACGCCATCTTCCTGTTTTTCCAAGGACCGCTCCAGGAGAGAGATTCTTTAGACCATTTGGACCCCAAGCCGCTACCTCGCCGTCGCCCGAAGCTTGGAAAGCCACCAATTCGGCGCGCATCGATTATTGCGCAGTGACCTGCTCCTTCCGCACACCACCCTCCCGTCTCCAAATTCGCTGCCCTCGCCCTATCGCACCGCCGTATCTTGTTCGCTGGGTCCGAGGCCGCCCTAAAATATCGTGACAGTCGAGTCTCCATCGTGCGCCCGCTTAATCGTATCGTGAACGGTTCTCTTGGCACTGCAATCCCGAGGCTACCTGCGTCACCACCCACCGCCCTGCGCCCACGGCAGCCTGCGTACCTCTTGAGCGCTGCGACTGGTGGATAGCGACATCAGCGTCGCATGTAGAAGAACACTGCCGTCTTGCGCTCGCGGGTCATGGCTTCTTCTTAACCGCAGGAAGAGCCACCTTGCACCGGTACACGGGCCAGCAGCGATAGGGACGGCAGACGGGGATAGAGTTTCGAGTGCGCCTTCACTGCGAGGCGCCTGGCCACCATGTCACAACCTCAGTCCGACGTCTATGCCATGCTCGAATCATCCTTCAAGGCCTCGCCGAACCTCCGCCAACCGAAACACCTGCCGCGCCGTAGCGACGACTACCGCACCTACTCGAGGGCTGCAGCGCCCCTTAAGCGCGACTATTCCTATACCACACAGGCGACCGACGACACGGACTCGATAGCCGACAGCGAGCACAATACACCGCTTCAATCTCCAGGCGCATTGCCGGGAGCTGACAGCGGCCTCCCGCCTACGCCGCCCACAGCTTCCCAGGACGGAAGAACTGCACAGATGCCCGAGCAACCGCTACATGCCGACAGCGTAAGGAACTCGATTATATCGCAGAAATCGTCGCTCAGCACGCCCGTCAATGCGCGCAGTCCTCCCACGCCCGATCCTAGCCCACCGCGAACCAACGCCTCCAACGGCACCAATGGCACGACTGCGACGCTCGAACGGCCCCCGATATACACATATCCCTCTTCGCGTGCGGATTCCTTCCAGACCGCCAGAGAGGACCCTTTCTCCTCGGACCGCGAAGACAGCAGAGCCGCAACACCTGCCAACGACAGGCTGAGCACCGTCGAGGAAGACCGCGGACTGGGCCTGGCGTTCGAGCACGACCAGCATGATGTCACGCCCACGAACAAGCAAGGCCCGTACTTCCCCACTACTGAACTGGTGGACTCAACGGTCGGTGCTGAGGAGGACAAGGGATCCCAGGTGGTCGAGGATATCCCAGATCGGGAGTGGAACACAGACCTCATGCGGAACGTAACGGTTCGCAGAAAACGCAGAACGCCCTCCAGCACGCCTCGCAAGTCATCGGCTCCAGCGCGTATCCCGTCACCTGTCGCAAAAGACGTCGAAGAACCCGCGCCCGCCGTCACCATCGTCGAAGCCGCCTCGCCGACCCCAAGCACCCGAGCCCGACGCGCTTCCAGTCTGCGCGAACGCGTCGAAGCCAGCCACAACAGTCCCGTCACGCCCTCCATCGAGAACTTTGCGCATTCAATTGGCTGGCCCTCGGAGGGTAGAGGCATGACGGGCGAGAGGCAGCGCGATAACACCAACAAGCGACTCTCCACAGCATCAGTGGCCTCGACGGTCGTGTCGGCGTACGTTAATATCACTCCACCGCGACGAAACCCAACACTGCGACACTCTGGGCGGAACATGGCATACAGGAGAGACTACAGTTCACCTGCGAATCTCGGCTCTGAGACCCACTCAAACCGCAACTCAATGATCTCACAGTACGATGACATGCCGCCCCATCGCCTGGTGCACAAGAGGACGAACATCGCCGACAGGAGTGCGAGGTTCAGCACCAATTCGGATGTCGGTTCATCGCGCATCATGTCTCCGTCGCTGTCGTTGCGACAGAGGACTATCGATAGCTCGGCGCATACACTAGCCCATCAAGAGTCGATACGAAACGTACTTCAGCCAGCAGCGGACATAGTCAGTCGACACAGCACAGTCGCGCGATCAGGCGGTAGCTACCACAAGCGAGTCAACTCTGCGCCCGAAGCCACCAGACGCACGCTGTCTTCGAAGCCAAGGAACTTTACAGAACTGCGGCCCTCCGAAAGTCCTGCACCGATAGAGGATCCCGTCAAACGAATGTCTGTACGAGCACCATCACCTCCTATGCGAGCTCCATCGCCTCCTGTACGAGCGCCGTCACCGACCCTATCGCCAAAGCCACGTCGGACGTCACCCACATCGCGCAAAAACAGAAGACAGTCACAAGTGGTTACCGATGTGAAGCTGCCGGCGAATCTCGAGCACACACTGCCCAATCTTCCCGATCAGGGCGTAGATGGGCCAGCTGAACGCGATGTCTTCATGGGTGCGAGCCATCCTGTTGAAGAGACTCGTGTGCCATCTGCGCTGACGGACAGAGTCCGTCTACTACTTGCGGCTCGTGAGACTGCAGAGTCAGCTACTCTTGTTGACTCTAAGCAGAATCCTGCTACGTCTGAGAACTTGGAGAAGTTTTCACCGCTGAAAGACACTTCACCTCATCTGCGTCAGGGCGCAAGGCCAGTCTCATGGGCAAAGCGAGCATCTCTCTCTCCCGAGATGGCAGTGCGTCCCATCTTGAAGGATCGTACATCGACGGACGAGGTAAAACGCCGCAGCAACGCATCGCGCCCTGATTCTGGAGACCATGGTCGCGTCAGTTTCGACCAATCCGCTTCTCGGTCTGCTTCGCGGACTGAAGAGCACGCCAATGCTCGGCACCTGTACTCTCAATCGACGCCATTCTCCCAATTCTCGGACACGGTTGAAGTCACTGAGGCGACTGCTGTGAGCATCTACCCTCACAACAACCACTCACTGCTCGTTGTACAGCAGTCACGCGGGAATTCACTGTTGCCAGAGCAGCGTCAAATAACTGGCAACACCTATCTCACACCGCAGGACGACCGTGAGGTGCGGAGTACGCCCAGTCCGCCATTCGTAGAGGCACCTGAGGCACCTCAACAAGCTCGCGAGGAGGTTGACGAGCCCTACCCACAGCCCACTCTGACTTTCGAGCCCTCGACACCCCCAACACAGTTCGACCTACCTCAGCCTGATGGTGTAGAATCGCCTCTCACGAACCCCCGAGACCCACCGGAGCCACCCATCATCAAATTTATCCCTCCCACCCCCATGGAAGAACTCGAGAACCAACTGGTACCCCCGCCACCAGGACCACCGGAGCGCTCTGATTCGCATCCCCAGCGCCGATTGTCTGTCCTCCAGCGAGCGCGGCGCTACTCCGACAACCTCATCACACCACTCTTCGGTCGCGCCTCCAACAACCGAACACGGTACACCAGCGACCCATTCAAGCAGCACATCCACCGCAACCCCTCCGTCCCCAGCGTCAACGAAGAGGACGGCACCCTCCACCCCTTCTGGCGCCCCCGCGGCTTCTGGGACGGATTCGAAGACGGCGACTCGGAAGACGACTCGGACGAAGACAGCGGCCTCCCTTCCGGCGGCGACACCAGCGACATCGAAGACCCAGAGCCAGAACCCTTACCCTCGCGCCCCCGCCGCGCGAGCACCATCAGCAACAAACTCAAAGGCGGTTTCCGCGGCAGCGGCGGCTTCCTAATCGGCAACTCCATGGGTCTCGAACGTGCTGGCACGAACAAACGTCGGCATCACATCACCCTACCTCCTCACTTCCGCACCCCCCGTACAGCCCGCCACCTCGCCTCCCCCGACAAAGTCATCATCCAAGCCCCCACCGCACCTCTCGGCCGCCACCGCAGCGGCGGCATCTCCAAACGCCGCTCAAGCCACGATCTTCGTCGCACAAACTCTCTACCCGACAACGTCTCCACCGTGTCCATCGAGTACGAACAGAGTCGGCGTGGTAGGGGTTCCTGGCGCCAAGGCAAGAGTCTGCCCGGCTTAAAGAAATACCACGTCCAATACATTGGTATTTCCGGTGTTAAAGAGAAACTGAGGGAGCGACGGACGGAGAAGAGGCGCGAGAAGATTCGAAGGAGTATCGGGAGTAGGTATTATGTTGATCCTGTTGGTACGGGGTCGGTGTGATACCTTCTTCTTCCTTTTTGACATCTTTTGATTTGCGAGCTGGGAGAGGAACGGCGTTCCTGTCTCAGCCTTTTTTGTTTTCTGCGAGTAGTTGGATTCC